CCGCGGGGACAGCAGTCAGTTCATTGCCCATCCCTGCACCTCCACTTCGGTTGGAACAAACTCCCAGACGGCACAATCAGCTGTCATTTCAAAGTCAGGCTTTTAGCATGGTACAGACAGGCACAGAAATGTCAAATGTCAAAAAAACCCCAACCCAATTGCAAGTCGCTGGTATCCCCCAAGAAACGGGAGCATCCCACCGTGCCGCCATTTGCCAGGGCCACGGGGCGGCCGGCAGCGCTGGGTGCCCGCTCCAAGCCAACCTGGGCTGCGCAGAGAACATCTTCTTCTCCCTTTAGAGACCCAAGAAATAATTAGAAGTCAGCACATTTTGGCAAGTAACCTTTGGTTAATGACAGCAACACATTTCAACAGCCACGGGCATGAGATATGATTTTCTTTTTTTTTTTTTTTTGTTTTCCTTATTAAGTAGGTCACCTGTGGTTTACAAAAAAAAGTACTTGTGTTTGTCACTGAAGACATTTTAGAGCCAAATGCCCTTATTCACAGCACAGAGCATCAGCACGCAAAGAGTCATCCGTAACACCCTTGACTGCGATTATGAACATCTTATTGCTTTTTGAAATATTTTTACCGTCCTGTCTCATCTTCTGCTTCATCCTGGCCTCTATCCTAGTCCCAGAGAAGACTCTACAAATTATTGTGCTTCTCACAGGAGGGCTCCCACCTCCACAAAGCACTTTGAGATCTTTGGGTGAAAAGTGCGATTTAAGTGCAAAATACTATGTATGTTTTGAAGGTCCGCACCGGACATCACAGGTCCAATAAAGTCATTGTGTTTGGTCTCCCCACCTGTATCACTTTACAGCCCTGGGAGTCAAACAGGAATGACAGGGAAGATACCAGACATGGAACAAAGTCCAACTACTTTAATACATTTAAAATATATTCTACAAACTACTTAATACCTAAAAGGCAACATTAAAAGAATTTTGCTGTTTATACACACTCATATTATGCGCTCAAAACTGGGAAATACCAGAATTAAGGTACGCCTGTCCCACTGCCACAATTACCAATCTAGAAAAATCAAACCAAACATTTTTGCCCTTACAGACTCTCACACTAAACGTGTTTCACAACCACCCCCCAAATGCCCTTTTCTCTGGCATTCTTCCCCTCCCAAGCGGCTGACAAACTCTGCTCAACCTCCCCAAGCGCTCCTACAAAGGTGCCCAATGGGGATCAAATGTGCAAATGGGAAAAAAAAACGTGCAAATGGGGGAAAAAAACCCCGTGCAAATGCTACTTTAAGAAGTCACTACGTTGTTTAATTGTTTTTTACACATCACCCACTTCATAGCAGCAATATTGCTGTAGCTGCAATGGTCTCATGATACATGGGATGCGTACATCTCCTCTGCAGAAGCATCAAGCCTCAAAACCCAGGACAAACACCCACCCTCTGGTACAGATCGCCAGAAAAGCGTCTGTTCCTGCAGCCCCCAGCTTCGCTCAACCTCCCACCGCTGCAGTGGACGGGACAGGGACACCGAGGGGACACGTTCCAGTACCTACAGTCCTGGTTCCCCGCTCTCAGTACCAGCCACCTGGTGCACCGCGCCAACGGGACACCCTCGGCGCAGAGCATGAGTTCGCGACCACACTGCAACGCCCAGGCACACGGAGACGCGAAGCCTAAGCTTTAAAGGAATTTTTGTTTCTGGCATTTCTCAAAACTTTTGAGCACCTTGCTTCCTAAGTTTAAGTCAAGGCCATCTGTGGCATCCTGTGCTACTCGTAGCGAGATTCAGGAACAGGGGACAAGAACAGAGACTAGTTCAGTCTGAATAGACACATACTTCATGTCAGAGAGGCGAGCGCTGCCTCTGCTGTGGCTACAGAGGGCCCACATCAGGGAG